GGGGGGGGGGCCGAATCGGTTGTGTCGAATCTAGCGATATCGCGTTTCATCCCCTCGTACTCGACGCGATATATAAGATTGTCCGTGTCGGTGTATATGATTTTGCATTTGTGTCTTTGCATCCGCGAGTCGCGCGATCCTCGCCACCACGGATTGTCTGTGTCCAACTGTGAGGCTTGGCACGACAAAGTTCTTCGAGCTGCTTGATGCACTCGTCACATCATTGCAGCCACGCAGAATACTCCACCAGAGTAGCGATCTGATCGCACTGCTTCAGTTTGCGTTCCACTCGCTCGTGGTTTTCCATGCCTTTTTTTCAATCTTTAGTTCACGTTGCACTCTTTTGCGGAGCACTTGCACGTTATTCGTTCACATTGCACCACTACGATATAGCGAGATTCGCACACCTATGTCTCTCTTTTGCGGATTACCGAGAACATACATCACATCATCTATATTATAGTCTTCAATGTCTCTACGATCCTCCATCATTACTTGTTCCATTATCTCGTCGAGTTTCATATTTCATTTACTATACTATTCACAGTACTATTCGCAATAGTTTTTCAATTTGTGCAGACTTGTTGCACGTAAATACAGTATACAGTGGCACTATGCAATTCGTGCAAGACCGATCGCCTAATGCTTCAATATAATCGATGTCGTGCTTCCTTACAAGATACATACCCTCAGTGTCAGCTAAACGGATCATGCATGTTGCACTTACAGTTAAAACCCGTTATATAGTAATACTAGATCATGCAGTGTTTAGTACGGCTGTTCAATGCACGGATTTCCGGAGATGGCACAAATTTTTCTACATGATCCGTATCGTGCTCGCTTAAGTCATTAGCAAAACCAGTATCGTCGGATAACACTTCTTCGTCGGATGAATCTTCGTTCATTATCTTCTCAAACTCTGCTTTCAAGTCTTCTTCAATTTCTATTATAAACACCTTGTTTATAATATTCTCGAGTTGTCGCGGGTCCAATATTCTTGACTATGTCGGTTATATCCTTGACGTTTGCACAATAGTTAGCTACACTTTTCACGTTGCTCTTATTGCAATCGATTCGACAGTCTCCCAAAGTATCAACTGAGGTGTCGAGCATTTATGACCTATTGTA